GGGAACAGGAAGAACACGAAGTGGCCTACAGTTGGCTCCGGACACTGAAAATGTAACCCGGGAGTGGTGGTCTGGGAACACGAAGAACACGAACTGCATGGACTCATAGAGAACAAAATTACAAGGTACGGGTGACGCACTTCATATACTGGGGACGCCCTGAGTTGGAAGCTGAAGGGTCAAACCTGATGCTCTGCCCGTGGATTTGGACCGTGAGATGGAGTGGCAGGACCCTCAGAAGCGACTTCCACAGCCCATTCTCCACGGATTACCCCAACGGTTCCAGCCACCCGATAGCCACCCAGACGTGCCAACGCATGTGCCACCAGAATCTCAAGCTCCCCCCGACCTTCGGTGGAGATCCCTATGGGGCCACGAAACGTGTGAGGGGTGTGCCGAAATGGGTGTTGAGGAGTGCCGAAATGGGTGGTGGGGAGGCATGCGAACCCTGCCACTGGGGCCTTCGGTGGAGCTCCCTATGGGGCCACGAAACGTGTGATGGGTGTGCCGAAATAGGTGGTGGGGAAGCATGCGGACCCTGCCACTGGGGTCTTCGGTGGAGCTCCCTATGGGGCCACGAAACGTGTGAGGGGTGTGCCGACATGGGTGGTGGGGAGGCATGCGAACCCTGCCACTGGGGCCTTCGGTTGAGCTCCCTATGGGGCCACGAAACGTGTGAGGGTGTGCCAAAATGGGTGGTGGGGAGGCATGCGGACCCTGCCACTGGGGCCTTCGGTGGAGCTCCCTATGGGGCCACGAAACGTGTGAGGGGTGTGCCGAAATGGTTGGTGGGGAGGCATGCGGACCCTGCCACTGGGGCCTTCGGTGGAGCTCCCTATGGGGCCACGCAACGTGTGAGGGGTGTGCCGACATGGGTGGTGGGGAGGCATGCGGACCTTGCCACTGGGGCCTTCGGTGGAGCTCCCTATGGGGCCACGAAACGTGTGAGGGGTGTGCCGAAATCGGTAATGGGGAGGCATGCGGACCCTGCCACTGGGGCCTTCGGTGGAGCTCCCTATGGGACCACGAAACGTATGAGGGGTGTGCCGAAATAGGCGTGGGTGACGATGATGATGACGATGATAATGATGATGATGATGATGATGATGATGATGATGATGATGTGGTGACGACGACGACGACGATGATGATGATGATGATGATGATGATGATGATGATGACGATGGGAAGAGGGAGGAGGGGGAGGAGGAGGAGGAGAGGAACGCGGGGCACCGTCTCTTCAAAACGAGGACCCAACACCACAGGATGTTTGGGAAAAAATTAGCCTGGCGAAGGACCCAACCATATGCAGTTGTGAGTAATGCTGGTGTGAGTACCGTCTTCGGTGGAGCTCCCTATGGGGCCACGAACCGTGTGAGGGGTGTGCCGACCGAAATGGGTGTGGGGGGCGGCATGCGAACGTTGCCACTGGGGTCTTCGGTGGAGCTCCTTATGGGGCCACGAAACGTGTGAGGGGTGCACCGAAGTTGGTGTGGGGGCGGCATGCGAACGCAGCCACTGGGGCCTTCGGTGGAGCTCCCTGTGGGGCCACGAAACGTGTGAGGGTGTGCCGAAATTGGTGTGGGGGCGGCATGCGAACGCAGCCACTGGGGCCTTCGGTGGAGCTCCCTATGGTGCCACGAAACGTGTGAGGGGTGTGCCGAAATGGGTGTGGGGGCGCATGCGAACCCAGTCACTGGGGCCTTCAGTGGAAATCCCCATGGGGCCACGAAACGTGTGAGGGATGTGCCGAAATGGGTGTTGGGGAGGCATACGAACCAGGCCACTGGGGCCTTCGGTGGAGCTCCCTATGGGGCCACGAAACGTGTGAGGGGTGTGCCGAAATGGGTGGTGGGGAGGCATGCGGACCCTGCCACTGGGGCCTTCGGTGGAGCTCCCTATGGGGCCACGAAACGTGTGAGGGGTGTGCCGAAATGGGTGGTGGGGAGGCATGCGGACCCTGCCACTGGGGCCTTCGGTGGAGCTCCCTATGGGGCCACGAAACGTGTGAGGGGTGTGCCGAAATGGGTGGTGGGGAGGCATGCGACCCAGCCACTGGGGCCTTCGGTGGAGCTCCCTATGGGGCCACGAAACGTGTGAGGGGTGTGCCGAAATGGGTGGGCGCCGCCATGCGGACGCAGCCACTGGGGCCTTCGGTGGAGCTCCCTATGGGGCCACGAAACGTGTGAGGGGTGTGCCGAAATGGGTGGGGGAGGCATGCGAACGCAGCCACTGGGGCCTTCGGTGGAGCTCCCTATGGGGCCACGAAACGTGTGAGGGGTGTGCCCTAAATGGGTGGTGGGGAGTCATTTGGGGCCACGAAAACGTTGAGGGTGTGCCAAATCGGGGTGGGGAGGCAATGCGAACCCTGCCACTGGAGCTCCCTATGGGGCCACGAAACGTGTGAGGGGTGTGCCGAAATGGGTGGTGGGGAGGCATGCGGACCCTGCCACTGGGGCCTTCGGTGGAGCTCCCTATGGGGCCACGAAACGTGTGAGGGGTGTGCCGAAATGGGTTGGTGGGGAGGCATGCGAACGCAGCCACTGGGGCCTTCGGTGGAGCTCCCTATGGGGCCACGAAACGTGTGAGGGGTGTGCCGAAATGGGTGGCGTGGAGCATGCGGACGCAGCACTGGGGCCTTCGGTGGAGCTCCCTTGGGGCCACGAAACGTGTGAGGGTTGTGCCGAAATGGGTGGTGGGACGCATTCGGACGCAGCCGTGGGGCCTTCGGTGGAGCTCCCTATGGGGCCACGAAGCGTGTGAGGGGTGTCCGAATGGGTGGTGGTGGGGGGTTTGGTGATGAGAAACGTGTGAGGGTTGCCGATCGGTGGTGTGGTGGCATGATGATGATGATGATGATGATGATGATGATGATGATGATGATGAGATGATGATGATGAAGATGATGAGATGATGAATGATGATGATGGAGGGGGAGGGAGGGGGGGAGAGGAGAGAAGAGGAACGCGGGCACCGTCTCTTCAAAACGAAGACCCAAGACCACAGGATGGTGGGGAAAAAAATAGTAGTAATAGTAGTAGTAGTAATAGTAGTAGAAGTATAGTAGTAGTAGAAGTAGTAATAGTAGTAGTAGTGTAGTATTAGTAGTAGTAGTAGTAAGTAGTAGTATAGTCGTAGTAAGTCGTAGTAGTCGTAAGAAGTCGTAGCGTAGTAGTAGTCGTAGTAGTAGTCGTAGTAGTCGTAGTAGTAGTAGTAGTAGTAGTAGTAGTAGTAGTAGTAGTACGTAGTAGTAGTAGTAGTAGTAGTAGTAGTAGTAGTAGTAGTAGTAGTAGTAGTAGTAGTAGTAGTAGTAGTAGTAGTAGTAGTAGTCGTAGTAGTAGTAGTAGTAGTAGTAGTAGTAGTAGTAGTAGTAGTAGTAGTAGTAGTAGTAGTAGTAGTAGTAGTAGTAGTAGTAGTAGTAGTAGTAGTAGTAGTAGTAGTAGTAGTAGTAGTAGTAGTAGTAGTAGTAGTAGTAGTAGTAGTAGTAGTAGTAGTAGTAGTAGTAGTAGTAGTAGTAGTAGTAGTAGTAGTAGTAGTAGTAGTAGTAGTAGTAGTAGTAGTAGTAGTAGTAGTAGTAGTAGTAGTAGTAGTAGTAGTAGTAGTAGTAGTAGTGGTAGTAGTAGCAGCAGTAGTAGTAGTAGTAGTAGTGGTAGTAGGAGAATTTGTAGTAGTAGTAGTAGTAGGAGTAGCAGTAGTAGTAGTAGTGGTGGTAGTAGTGGTGTAGTGATGACACGATGATTAGAAGTAGCAGCATATTCGTCATGATCTGAGCAAGAACAAACAGAAAAATGAGACCGATTTCGCGAGTCCCTGCCCAGCAGCGTCTCGCTGGCTACGCTTCTGTGGAGGGGCCTCCGGGCGCCGTGGCACGGCGGTTCGGACTTCCGGCTGGCCGCGAGGTTGCCCTCGCAGATGCTGGCTTGTTCGTTTGCGATATGATCCCCGTCACATTGCATATTTGCTCAAAGGGTGCTTGTGCCAGGGGACGCGCGGGCTGAATAGTCTCGCCCAGTCTGGGTCCCCACTGCTGGCGCTATGACGGAGAAGATCTTGCAGTCCCCGTTGAAACATGGATGCGTTGCTGGACTCTTCGACGATTCTCTCTGGCAGGCGATTGCAAATCGAAACCAATCCCAATACAGAATGCTGGATATAGCTGGCTGGGCGAGAATGCGGAAAAGCGGCGGAAAAGCGAAGTCGGTCCAGTGCCCGTCCTGGTACTCCCAATTGCAATCAGTGTCGCCCGTTGGGCGCCCTCCCAGCCTCGCTATTCAACGTGAAGTATTGCCTTGCGGCCCTCTACCCAATACCGCCTTGTGTATGAACCCCAGACGTGCCATGTCCCGGCACGCAGACAGTGTCTTCTCCTCCTCATCCTCCTCTTCCTCCTCCTCCTCCTCCTCATACTACTCCTCCTCCTCCTCCTCCTCCATCCCCCATCTTCCATCATCTTTGCCCCGCTTGGGGCAAGGAGGGGGAATGAGGAGGGGGAGGTAGAGGAGGAAGAGTAGGCAGAGGAAGAGGAGGAGAACGAGGAGGAAGAGGAGGGAAAGGGGGGGGGGAGGACGGAGGGGGAGGGCGGAGGAAAAGAGAAGGAGGAGGAGAAAGAGGGAGGAGGAGGAGAAGGAGGAGGAGAGGGAGGAGGAAGGAGGACGAGGAGGAGGAGGAGGAGGAGGAGGAGGAGGAGAGGGAGGAGGAAGGAGGACGAGGAGGAGGAGGAGGATAAGGTGGAGGAGGAGGAGGAAGAGGAGAAGGAGGAGGAGGAGGAGGAGGGCGAGGAGGCGGGGGAGGGGGAGGAGTGACGACGAAGAGCAGCAGTAGCGGGAGGATGGATAGCGGGAAGGGGAGGATTGGTGAGGAGGGGGAGGCAGAAGAAGAGGAAAAGGAAGAGCCTAAATATATTAGAGAGGAGAAGGAGTTTGGAGTGCGAGGAGGAGGCGCTCGTTCGTCGTCGAAGGTCGGAGTTGTCGCCGCTCCTCCTGCTCCTCCCCCCCCCCAAGATGCTCTGATGGCACGCAACGCCCGCTAGAGGCCGCCTGCCCACTCTGCACTCTGGGCCGCCGCCCTGGCCAGCGCGGGCGTCCGGCGCGGCCGACAGAGGGAGGGGCAGAGAAGGGGGAGGGGGAGGGGGGGGAAGCGGACAGGGACAAAACGTATACGTGCACGGTCGGGCCGAGGTATAGGGTCGAGGCCAGTTTGGGGAGGGTACCCCAGTGTTCTTCGTATGTGTTGTATGCCCTTGTGTATATTGGGGGAGGGCATCTTCGAGTGATCTTATGGTGCGGGGTGTTTTGGCAGGCGCAGAATCTCATGTTCTTGAAGGACGTTATCATGTTCAAGGTCCGACCGTAATCATATATCTATGTTATATGTGCATACGCACACACACCGATGTATTCAAATGTATGTTGGCCAGCGTGGATACCAAACCGAGTGTTTGTAGCCACATGTGTTATGCAATATGTGCGGGGCAACCTATGTGGTGCAATCTACGTGGTGCAACTGACTACCCTGCACCGCGCTTGACCACTCCACTGCTCGCGCAAACATCCCACCCACCCACCCGCAACTTGTTTTGCAAAATCTCTTAAGACCGTGACAGTGGGTACCAAATGGCACTTGCCAACGACAGCGACGCCGACGACGACAGCGACAACGACGACGACGACGCCGCCGACAACGACTACGACGACACCAGCGACGTCTCCAACGACTGCGACGACGCCGACAACGACGACGACGACGACGACGACGACGACGACGACGACGACGACGACACCGACGACGACGACGACGCCGACGCCGGCGACGACGACGACGATGACAACGACGACGACGACGATGACGACGCCGACCGACAACGACGACGCCGACGACGACGACGACGACGACGACGACGTCAACGACGCCGACGACGACGACGACGACGACGACGACGACGGCGGCGACGACGACGACGCCGACAACGACGACGAAGACGACGACGACGCCGACTCCGACGACGACGACGAAGACGACGACGACGTCGCAAACGAAGACGACGACGAGGGAGGAGGGAGGACGCTGACGCCAACAACGGCGACAACGACGACAACGACGAGGGAGGAGGGAGGACGGCGACGACGCGAACGACGAAGAAGGAGGCAGGACGGCGACGCCGACGACGGCAACGACGAGGGAGGAGGGAAGACGACGACGACAACGACGACGACGACGACGACGGCGACGAAATAGGAGGGACGACGACGAGACGCCGACGACGGACGACGACGACGACGAGGGAGGAGGAGGAAGGACGACCACGGCGACAACGACGACGGAAACGACCACGACGCCAAAGAGGACGACGACGACGAACACGAGGAAAGACAGAGGACGACGTAGGCGACGACGACGACGACAACGACGCGGGAGGAGGGAGGACGGCGACGACGACGACGACGACGACGCAAGAGCGCGCGCGCACGCTTTTGTTGAAAATCCGTGTTGCGAAACCTTGGGCTTTTGTAGGTTTTTTGGACGCGCGATTTCGAAATCCTTCCGAAACCCATGGGTTTTGAAGGATTTCGGCGTACGCGCGCGACCACGCGCGCGTCTGCACTTCGTCCCGTTTTTTGCAGAGGATTCCCGCGACGGCACACGCGCAAGGGCTTTCGACAAATTTCGACATGCGCGCGCGAAGCCCGTTTGGTAGCATTTTGTCAAAATCTTGGAAAACCTATGGTTTTCTTGGGATTTCGCAAGAACTCGCGCGGAAGCTTTTTTAGCAAATCAGTGTTGCCAAACCATGTGTGTTTGTATGTTTTTTGGAAACTCGATTACGAAATCCTTCCGGCGCCGAGGGTTTTTGAAGGATTTTGGCGTGCGCGCGCGACGACGCGCGCGTGTGCACTTCGTCTCTTTTTTTGCAAAGGATTCGCGAAAAAGTGCTATGTTAGAACAAAAAATGTCACAGCATAGTGTTTTTACAAGGGACCCTCAGGGGGGGCAAAACCGGACTGCCTGGGATGGTATGATTTCATATTTAGGATGGACGAGTGTGCAGAATGTATATGAAATTATCGTATCCCAGGGGGAGCGGATAAGTCCGGGGGAGCGGGGGGTACAGTCTAATAAAGGAGAATTGACGTTGTGCAATATATGTTGCGCAGTGCAACATATATATATATATATATATATATATATATATATATATATATACGGTGCACCATCGGAGGAGCCATGTATGTTCTGCAATATATGTGGCGCAACCTGCGTTGTGCAATATATGTTGTGCAGTATATGTGATGCAGTCTGCGTGGTGAAATTAATTTCTGTTCGCAGTGAGTTCTCAACACCACAGTTCGCGCAAGCATCCCACCCTCCCACCCGCAACTTGGTTTGCAAAACCCACGCGGCGGCGATTGCGATGAGTGTTTGGTGTTGGCTGGTGAATCTCTGCAGCCGCGCTAGCCCGCGCGCGCTCGCGCGCGCAGCGGCCAGCTAGTGTGGCGCGACCGACGCGGCCGCGGTGGCGCTGACCGCTGGGCATTTCCCAGCGGGCATTTCAGTGCGAGTCGACGACGTGGGCGGGCGCGGTATCATGGCAACGTCGACAACGGTAGTCACGATGTTGATGGCAACGATGCTCGCGACGATGATGACAGTGACAACGGTAAGGCCAGTGACGGCGCCGATGCTGATCACGACGACGACAGTGACGGCGTCTTCGCGGTGGTGATGAAGGTTGTTGGAGGGAGTTCGACATGCGCGCGCGGCCGACGCGCGAGAGTGGCCCGCATGGTATTATTCAACACGGCCCGTGCCCTCTCCAGCACGCACGCAAGGGCGTCCGAATGTTTTCGACATGCGGCGCGAGAGGCCCGTTTGGCCGAATTTAATGAAATTTTGAAAACTGGTTTTTTAAGATTTCGCAAGAGGGCGTGAGCAGGCTTTTGGGGGAAATTCGGGTAGGAAAACCACGTGTTCTTTATTTGTTTTCGGGGCATTCGATTTTGAAATCTTTGCGAAACCCAGGGTTCGGGAAGGATTCCGGCATGCGCGTGCGACGACGCGCGCGTGCACTTCTTTTCATATGTTGCGATTTTTTGGGGGGGGAGTTGGTGATTTTCGATAAACGAGTGCGCGCGCAGAGTTTTTTGCAGAAGATGCAGGGGGAGCGATACCGGCCTTCTTGGGATGGTACGGACTCATATTTACAATGGACGACCGGGCATCATATGTACGGGAGGGGTAGATCCTTTTATTCTTAGGCAGGAGAATGTGTTTAATCGTTTCGCTCATTTTGCTGGCCCCTTTTCGCCTCGCCGGTGTCATTTTTCGGGGTGTTGTTGTCAATGCGGTGCGGTTGGGCGGCTGCCAATTTTCGGAGGCGGCGGTTGGCGGGTCAGAGGCCTCACGGATGTTGGTTGGGTTCTCGCGGTTGGCCCCCCAGGGGCCTTTGGGAGGTAGTTTTGAAGCCTCTTGGGGGGCGTGTTGGGGCCTCTTGGGGCGCCTCTTGGGGCTTCTTGGGGTGCCTTTTGGGGGCCCCTTGGGGCATCTCTTGGGGGCCTCTTGGGGCCTCCTGGGGGCCTCTTGGGGCTGAAGGCTGGACTTTTCGGTTCCTGGTTTCCTTTTTGGGCCCCTCTTGGGGCTGTTTTGGGCCTCTCTTGGGCCATCTTGGGCGCATCTTGGGCGCCTCTTGGGCTGTCCTGGGGCCATATTGGGCCGTCTTGGGGCCCTCTTGGAGGCTTCGTGGACCGTCTTGGGGCGGTCTTGGAAGCCTCTTGGGCCGCCTTGGAGCGCCGGCAAGCCGAAAAGGCGAGAAAGTCAAAAACCGTGGAGAAGATATTTGTGCGGTTTTGGGCGGCGACGAGGCGGCGACGGAGCGGCGACGGCGAGCACGGGCCGCCAGACCGCCACCCAGGCTCAGACGAAGGGCGGCGACGAGGCGGCGACGGGGCGGCGACGGCGAGCACGGAGCTGCCAGACCGCCACCAAGGTCCAGACGACGGGCGGAGACGCGGCGACAGGGCGGCGACGGCGAGCACGGAGCCGCCAGACCGCCACCCAGGTCCAGTTTTTTTTGAAGGAGCAAGAACCCCTATCTGCAAGCACTGTTTGGGATATACGTAGATACACACAGCAGCCAACGTACGTGTGTATATGTGTAGGAACTTACGTACTCATCTATCTGGCGTTAGTTATGTGGTACAAGCTCCCAGGTGTAATACATGTCGTAAGAGCTCGCACTCTCGCGTATTCTTTTTTGTGGGGCAAGCTACGTGGTTTAAGCTATATGGTGCAACATACGCGGCAGGAGCTAACGCACTCATCATATATGTGTGGTGCGAGCGATGTGGTGGAAGCTACGTGATGCAATGAATACAGTCGGAGCTAGCGTGTTCGTCTATATGGTGTGAACTATGTCGTGGGAGCAACGTAATACATCGGATGTAAGAGCAGCTAGCGTCCTCTTGTATGTGGTGTGAGCTACGCCGTGTAAGCTATGTGGTGCAATATATGTGGCAGGAGCTAGCGTAATCATCTGTGTGGTGTGAGCCATGTCGTGCAAGCTACGTGGTGCAAGTATGCGGTAAGAGATAACATACTCATCTGCGTGGTTTGAGCTGCGTGGTACAAGCGGTATGGTGCAATCGATGTGCTACGAGCTAACGTACTCATCTATGTGATGTGAGCAGTCGATCGGATTGAAATCGATTGCATCGCAACCGATTGGATTACAATGCAAAACATGCTTCAGACGATGGGCGGCGACAGGGAGGCGACGGCGAATACACGCCGCCAGACCGACAACACGGCCCAGACGACGAGCGGCGACGGGACGGCGACGTTGACTACATAGCCGCCAGACCGACGACACGTCGCAGTTCCTTAGAACATGTAAGAACCCCTAAGTGCAAGCACGGGTTGGAAAATACATATATAGATATATGTACACATATATACACATATGTGTATAGATGCATCTGTGTATATACACACAAAGACATACATTTGCATACATGCATACATACATACATACATATGCATATAGATGTGTGTAAGTGTGGATGTATGTATCGAACTATATAGCTTTATATAAATGCATCTGCATAGTGATATAA